CTTATCCAGATTGTCGCTGCATTCACCACCCTTCTCTCCAATCGCCCAGATTTGATTAGCCGCTGGGGATACGCATCGTATCATCTTACAGTTATACCATATCTTGCCATGACTCTTGTTAACCTAATCTCCAATATGGTCTCTCCAGAGTATTCTTGCTTGTACATGATACGCAGCGAGACTATGGTTGAAGCAGAGAAATTGGGTGGAAGATTTGAAGGAGAAATAGCCCAAATGATTTCCCTCTTACCAAAAGATGGGATGCAAGTTGAGAATCCAGCATGGATTGGTCTTACCAAAAAAGACATTCAAAATTTATCCCTTGCACTTACTTCAACGGCTAGTGAGATGTATGTCTTGGATATGGCCATTTATCTATTTGATCTAATCACTGCAAGTAAGACAAAAACGAAGCTATCCGCTAAAGATGCCAAAATAATACATCTGGAAGTAGTCTCTCAACTTATTGCTTCTACTGCTCCTTCTACAAATGAACCCGAAACGAGCGCAACTCAGGCCAACCATCCTGCAGATCCATCTGGTGCATCATTGCCTAATGGTGGCAATGAGAACCCAGCGTTACAGGATGTTTTCTTCGACGATGAATTTAGTACGCAGTCTAATCCGAAGGACATCATAGCAAGGCCAGTGGGCACAACAGATGAGTACCAAATCCAAATTCCTCGTGCACCCAGGCGGTCATCAAGAAAAGGCCTATTATATACCATTCACCTGGCTATGGAAGATTTGTCATCTGTTCGGGGTGAGAAGACAAGTTCATTTTTCGCCATGTTGCAGAACATGAAGGTAAATAGGATGAGGCTTAAAGCCTACAAATTTGCCGACTCTTACATCAAACGGATCATGATTCTATATAATCTTGCATTGAAAGATCATATTATTCCAATAAGTTCAGGTGACTATGCAGAGTTCACTCCAGTTCGATCGGCTACAATCTACCATCCAAATTGTCATCGATTTCTCCGCTGGGATGACTTTGCTAATCCGCCCAAAAGCAATAAAGAAGAGTCCAATGCGATCCAACTCAGAGTACTTTCACCGATCACTGATAGTGAAGAGAATTGCCTGGCCGCATCTATTTCCAATGTGCGTACGCTACTTAAACTGCCGGAAAGATCCACTACGACTACTGCATCAATCGCCGAGCTCGAAGAGCTTCTTTACTCACCGACTATAACAAGAACAAGCGGACGAATGGGATGGGCTATACTAGTAGAAATTAGTATCGGAATTTGTGTTGTAGGTCTCTTCTTTGGGTTAATTGCGGGATTGACGAAATTTCATTCAGGCGAGAGTTCCGTAACTGAAAGAGGTATCATGATGACCTGGCTTGCTAGTGGCCTATATGGATTCTGTCTTCCCCTTCTCAGTACCCTTGAGCTTCTCAAGATCCTCTTTTTGTTTCCAATCTTTCTTTCTTTGTGTCTATCGGGTGCTCCCGACTACTATTGTTTTAGCAATGAAATTGTCAAAACGCTTCGAAACGAGGAACAAAGTGTGAATGGCGGTTGGAAAAAGAGGACTAAAAGGGCTTTCCGAGTGTATCTTAAAGTCGTGTCTAAAAAGATCGTGCCGGTATTTCCTAATTTTGGTCCTCAGCCAGCAGCAGCTCTCGTGTATGTGTTTGCTTTCATTCCCCTTGGGATATTCATCCCGCCTGTTTGGGGATTTGTGCTGGTAGGGAGGATGATTACGGAGTGGGGAGATTGTGTGAGATTATATTGATACTAGATCATGGTTCTATCTGGTTGCTTTAATACGTATATTAGTTGAGGATGAAAGGGAATATTGAGTCAAAGCTGCATTGATTCGGACCCAAACATCTGGCGTCTATGGAACATTTTTATGAGTGTCTTCTCAATTAGATAGCTTTTTAAACGAAGAGAATGAAATACAGATTTTCTTCTAGAACAATTGCTCGTTCAGATTCATTCATTTGTAATATAATGGTCTTTATAGCCAGAAAGGATAAAGCATTCATACTTTTCACTTCAAATCATGGAGAGCCAAGCAGTTCCAAACCCATAATTGACCTACAAAGAAGCCTTTTTCAGTGACTTTTACTCGATCGATAAAAGATGAATAATATGACCTAGCATCAACAACTAACTAATTCTTGATTAATTGTCACCAAAAACAGGAATTAGTAAAACACCACATTGAAAAACGAAAATACAAAGATGTACATCATTCCAAGCATCAGAAGAAGTCAGTCATCTCAGAGTACGCTCTCTCTCTCTCCCCCCAAGACTCAAAAAAACCACTGAGAAAATAACCACTGAGAAAGAAGGAGAGTAAAATTCACTTATAAAGCAAGATACAGATCCAATCCAATGATTCGATACAAGCCCTGGAAATTCAGTCTGACAGAATAGCATCTCAAAAGATATCCGGAATTGCGATCCTGTGTTTTTCGAACTACGAACTTTTCCTACTGGTACTGAGATCGATGAGAGAACAAAATACAAAACAAGCTGTACGATGATAACGACTATCTCATTAGACTATGTAGAATTTCTCTCAGAATAGAGCTTTTACTGGCCTCGAATTAACTTGCTCCTATGGTAAATATCCTTTCATTTTATTTGGAATCCATACTAAGATACTTGATAATTTAGAATAAACATTGTAACAGGATAAAGTACCGACGAATACGATTTGCCTGTCTGTATTCTCCCGAATAAAAAAAAACAGAGATGCTCTATATAAATAAGTATTCAACAAATATTGTAACTACACTCTATCAGCACCAAAATATCCCTAAAGCCCCCCTTTTTGTACATAAAAGGTATATAGTATCAAAAAGCCCAAACAAACATAAACATAAATCCGCATGCCGTCATGATCCCGCTGGAACCGAACCGAGCCGCTCAGTCCACCTGCCCTCTCCTTTTCTCCACCCACACAGCAAAAATCGAGTTCATCTATCCATCGCCCCTATCCATTTACACAAAAAACGCAAAAAGACACAAATTTTCAAGACAGACAAATGAGACAATTTAAAAAATATTCGAAAAAATGCAAAAACAAATGCAACTGCCGTGAATCGAACACGAACCTCCACCTTGGAAGGGTGGAATCCTAACCATTGGACCACAGAAGCTTGGTGAGGTTGTTGTATGGCAGAACAGAGTTGTTTTGACTTATACGTTATTTTACAATGGAAGGGTGTGAGTGCATGGAATGGTGGAAACAACGACAGACAAAGACAAAGACATGACAAAATGAGAAGAGATGAGACCTCGGTTACTTCTACTTTTCCTTTTTTTCAGAAGAATATTAATTCAAATATAATATCAAACATTCGAAACGAATTAGAGATGGTATTAAGAAAATCACATTTGTTTATTTCTTCCTCTTTAAATAAGTATAATGATAATTATTCATCCTTAAAATATCTCTCCAATAATACCTCCCCGAGCTCCCCTCCAACTATGCATACCCAGGAGTCAGCATAGTGGGGTGCACCATCACGTGCTCCACAACACCACACCCTTGCTATAGCCTTAACGAGCAAAACATGACGTGCATCTGCTCTGACACTTCTGAAGATTCCAGGTCTAAAGTAAATGAAAACAAAACACTTTTATTAGGATCAGAGTTAACTCTTTACATATACATATACATATCCAAATCACGTATTGAAATAAAAAGTGAGGTCAAAGCAGAAGATTAAGAGTTGAGGAATCAATCTTTTGGGAAATATATGATATGATTTGATGTGATAAAGTATGTTTATACGTAGTAGGATTCTTTCTACTCGAGTAAGCTGTTTCAAGGAGCAAGCTGTTTCAAGAAGAATTGCCATTCCCATTCACTACAGATTGTGAAGGCGAGAAGGAGGAAAGAGAAGGGCGAGGAGAGGAAAGAAAAGAAACATGAAGACTCTATAAGATTTCCCCTTTACAAGTTTCCTCTTACTCCATCCCTCCATTGATTGTATTTGCATAGGTAAATAGGTAGCTTATATGAGATAGATGTATAAGGAATAATCTGAGAAGGAGTATATATTCTCCAACTTCAGATCAAAAACCATACAGGTAGTATACATAGCTAGTATGTAATTCCACACACACTCTCTCATGATGATATGTATATGTATATATATATAAAGACAATCAACTTCAAGTCCCACAACACCTGCAAAGCGCATGTTTAATAGTACACAATATAATATAAAATCAATCTCACAATACAAGTAGCAATCATACCTAGTAGGTATTCACAAGTAGATAAATAGATAAAACACATATCACTTCCACTTACATCAGCACATATTTCACATCACATCACATTAGATAGAAGTCGAAGAGTCAGGATCTATCTTCGGACGATAAAAAGTTCCATGTACTACAGACACATTCTCGATGTACTACCTCCAAGTAAACGATAGGTAGCAAGCGATCTTACAATTCCAATAAGAATCCGGGGGTGAGAAATTTTGTAAGGCAAAGAAGCATGCATATGCATACCTACCTACCTACCTACCCATCTAGGTAAGGGTAAATAAGCATAATTCATAAATCCAACCCCATTGTCAGAGTATCACGCAAAAGTAAGCAATATGAACTACGTCACAGCTACTGATATCCACATAAACTTCTTCTCCAAGTCCTTTGATGTTCTTTCATAGAAATGTATTTTGCTCGCTGTGAGATCTACTGCGTAGTAGGCAGCACATTGAATGTAGCTACCGCAATCCTAAACTAGCAGAAGTAGAAAGAAAGGCAAGGCCAAGAAGAGTCACTGAACAAGAAACTCTTCGAAACTATGATACAGGCTCCCTTAAAATCAAAAGGTATGAAGAAGAATCAGAACCAAAATGACATTTAAGTTAAAAATCGCCACCTAAGCCAAACAAATCGTTCATTCATTTCGCTTTTACCAATTCATGCAACCCAAATACTTGTACAGTTCCTGTAAGGAAAAAGAAAACTCGTGGCCTAGGGAGCTCAATAAAATGTTGAAATAATGATTGCTTATTTCTTCTCCGAGTGTTCGGTGCCATTACGATTATTGTGATGATTGGCCGCCTTCTCCTTTCGAGCTTCGTCGATAGCAGTTCGTTGTTGTATACTAGAATCATGAGACTTCCATTCTACCTTAGTTTCAGGTGGGAATGAAAGAACGCGCTTTAATGTCTCCCTGTTCAATGGTTAGCCTATTGTTGAGCATTTTGGAAAGAGTTAAATACCTAATTTTGAGTACCCTCCCGCCACCTGAACGGGTCCAGATACTCAAGATATCTTCTCCATTGCGCACGCTAAGTACAACCCCGCAAACTTCTTCGCTGGGGTCGAACTCATCTCCAGCCATTGCAAAGACTAAATCTTCCCAATAACGATCAGCCACACCCTTCTTGAGTCTCACAATCCATTTGCCTCCCTTTTTATTTTCATCATCCTCCCAAACTGGACGAATTCCCTTCTTAAACATGTGGTAATCGGAAACTAGTGGCAGATTCGAGGGGTGCCTCATATGATCGAAAACGTCAAACAGTTCCTCCGCCGAATTGAATGCTGCCATTGGATGTAATGTCTTTTCGTATTCAACAAATCCGTTTGACTTGGAGATTGGGGGTCTGTACCAAAATACCCAGCCATGTCGAAATTGGTGTGAAGCTGGCGCTGTAGCCGTCTTAGAATCTGTGAGGGAAGTTTTAGATGTCTTTGTTCCCAAATCTCTATAATTTTTCTCCGCAGTTGGTGTTTTGGTAGATCCTCCCACTACACTTCCAAAATCCAGCGCACCTCCACCTCCAGGAGTTTTCGGGCCCTTTGAGTTTCCAAATGATGCGAAAGCGCCTGATCCTAATCCAAAAGCGCTCGATGCGCCCGTTGTTGGAGAGGATAAGGATGAGGCCGAAGGGGACATGGAATTGAAAGGATTTTTTGTGCTGTGCGAAGAAGTGTCTCCATGTCTTCTTCCCAAGACAAATCCCCTTGCTGCGTGGTCGCCACCACCAAGAGTTGATCCATTCGTAGTTGGATTGCCTGTGGATAGCGAAAGTTTGCTGGAACTGCACCACACTTTGGTTAGAAGCGCTCAAAGAAAAGAGACAATGCGGGAACGAAGAAGGAAATACTTACTTCGAACGGCGACTCCACAGGTTATCCATTACGAAAGGATGAATTTAAAATCTGATAACTATGCGCTTTGTGTCAAACTTCCGATGATGGCAATATTATGAGCTTCCGTTTGTGACGTTGAATAACTTTCGAGATATGCTTGTAGATAGAGAGGTACAAGCAAGTGAGGTATCGGGTGATTTTTGTTGAACAAAGTAGCAAGTTAAGGATATCGCAGAGGGCTGGATTTGGGTGTGAAGGGTTGTTGGTATTCGCAGATGGTATTCAGTAATGTGATGAGGGTGATTCTTATTTTTGGAGGTAATATCGTATTTGTATTGTGTGGTATTGTACTATACTGTACTGTATTGTGTGTGATGTGATGTGACGGGTTATTGAAGGTTTCCAGATTTACAAATTGAGGGTTTCGATAAGTTTGCAGTTTTGGGTGGGTAATGATTAAAATGATGAAAATGTAGGAACAGCCAGAAAGTCCTATAGACTAGTATGTATGTACGCATCGCGGCAACTGAATCAATCTGGGAGCCTTAGAGCAGCGCGGGGCCTAAGTTGAATTTAGCGAACCACGCTAGTGTAAGAAATATTTTGTTTGATTTTTTTCCCTTACGGTCTCGTTTTCTTTCTTCTTTAACAAACAAGACCATTAACTCAAATCATCGACAGTTTGATATTTTCACTACTCAACTGCCGATTCCGATAACTTGGTCAAGAAGAAACATATTTACCACTTCAAAACCATCGTCACGAGGGCCCCTCGTGCGGCTTCCATGACACGATGATGACCTAAAGATGGAAACATACTACACCGTCCACACTATGGATTGTTAGAAGAGACAGGATGCAATGGGCGATGATATGGAAGACGATATGGAGGATGAGGGATGAACAATGATGGCAACAATAGGGTAAGCACACGTGGAATACTATGTGCATTGATTGAAATGAATGATATGAGGACAACACAACTCTGGTAATACGATTCAACCGCCATGTTCTACGGAATACATGTTTGCTGTGTTGAAGTTGAGATGACATTGGCAAAGACTGATCTTTTGGCGGAAGCTTTTAATTGTCGGGATTGATCATGATGCTTTTCAATGCTGACTTCATGTTGAGTCTATAGTCAAACATAAATTACATCTCTACCCATGCTTTGTTCTTTGCTTCTCTCACCATATGAATGTGTTTATAAGTATCTACTAGTTGTGTAGAAGGGCGCACGACGATGAGTGTCAATAGTACGATTAATTTCACAAATCGAAGAACATGCCCTTTCTCTCAACCTTCAAATCTGATCTGTCTCTATTATTGTTCCATCAACACCTGTAAACTCTATCTCTTCGTCTCTTCTTTGCGCTTCTCAAAATCATAGCCCAGCTCTTCCAGGGACTTTGCTTTCTCGCCATCTTCAATAAAACGCTTTCGTATGTCTGCATATAATTCTCTTATCCACAACTTCTCCTCATCCCAATACGCTGGCTCTTTGCTGAATCCTCCTTTGGCACTTTTCGCCCAATCGTGCAAACTATTTATATAATTTGCGTCGTGAGGGTAACCAAAGACGTGGAAAGACGTGCCATTGCCATGTTCTTTCACCCTTTCCTGCTCCCATAAATTCATTTCTTCCTTACTAGGCAAGTCCAACTTGTTCGACCAAACTTTCGAGACTGCTGCACTTTGGACTTCAGATATTGGGAACGGGATAACTTTTTGTGCCAAGGCTGTAAATGCAAGAGTTGGATGCTGGATATCAAATAGATGTTGGTATGAGCCCACCACTCGTCGACCAGTGGTGACAACTGGTGGTTTCAACGAATTGAGGAATGGATAAGAGTAGAAGTACCCTGTGCAGTAAACTACAGCATCGATGTCCTTTTCTATCCGTCCATCATCAAACTTCACACCTCTAATGTCGGCAAGGTATTCTAAAATGGGAGGGACCTCTTCCTTCCCGTCTCCTCCCTCGCCAGAAGAAGTTCTTACTGAGTTTAATAGAGGCTTCTTACAAACCTTACTGATCTGTGTTCCAATATCCAATCCCGAGGCTCCACTTCCAACCACGATTACTTTCTTACCTACAAAGGAATCGGGCGAACGAAATATTTTGGAGTGTGATATGATGGATGGATGAGCCGAGTTGAACTCCTTAATCCCCGGTACATCAGGTATAAAAGGGACAGAATAGTGACCGTTTGCAATAACAACGGCATCATAAGTCTCTTTGATCTCGTCGTTGGTGATTGTAGATCTAGAAATGATTCGCCATCGATCATGACCATTGTCTGGCTCCAACCTTATATCTTGGACTTGCTCCGAGAAGCGAATCAGATGTCTGACATCACCAGAGTAGTGTACAAGGTATTCTTGAACGTCTTCGCGTGTAGGGAATAGCAGAGAGTCGGAGCGAAATGGCCGATCGGAGAAACGCATTAACGGCTTTGGAATGTTTGTGTGTAAACGATCATACATGGGGTTTGAGAAAATTGGAGGGTTTCCGTCCTTTGGCCAAATTGGCTTTTCAGGAGATACACTTGGCGACATTGATGGGACGGGCACACTATCACTTTATTTTGGGGTATAATTCCATACACCTCCCACCTCAGCTTGCTGCTCAATGATGTCGATCTTATCAAAGTACTGTTCCGCCAGAAGAAACTTTGCTGCGGCCAGTCCAGAGGGACCTGCACCTACAATTGCAATTCGCTTGACATTGAACGATGCTCGAAGTCTGGAGTTCATTTTGAAGATGCGAGATGATTTTGGATATCTCTTCAGTTTCACTTGTTAGACTTGTGGTAATATATACGTTGATTTAATGATTTGAACCGGAAATATATATGGATAAAAGGACATCAAACGTTTAAGAACATTTAATATTTGTCGTATTGTAGGATAAGGAATACTTTCTCTCGACACCTACATAGAAAAAGGTTGAGAGAGTGAATTCATTTATATAAGAGCAAAGATGCGGCCGACTGTTGTTCCTTTTTATTCTTTGCGTCAGTCCGCTACCAGCAAGACGTGCTTCAGCAGGGGTCTTCACATCGGCAAAACTTTAAAAATATTCCGATGACGCCCATCCCATCCCGAGCTAGCAAAGCTCCCATCACAGCAGGAATCCACAAACGCGCTCTACAAACTCGAAGCCAAAACAATTATTCACGCATAAGGATACGATACGGTTCATTGATACGTCACTACGGAAGGAAATGCTGGTCTCCCGATGATCAGCATCTAAAGCAGGAATTCTCCATTTAACAATGGCAGAAACAATACCAGCTACAAATGGAATTCCAAACTCCACAACAATGTCAAAGTTAGATTCAACCACGCATATCCCAATCGCGCAGCTTACGCCATTACTTCCAGCATCAGCTTCGAGATCAGTTAAAGCGGGGTAGTGACTCTCACATGGCCATATAGTTCCCGCACGGGTTCTGTCGCTTTCTTACTTGCTGAACCCGATTTCCGCTTGCGCAGAATCAGAGGCCAGGTGCGCGTACAATTTTCAGGATCATCTGCGAATGCTATTGCGAAGTCTGGTATCACTAGCGGTGATGAAGTGGATATTATGTTAGATGGAGTGGAATATGTGGGAACTGAAGCTCCAAGTGCGACACCTGGAAGGGGTGTGGAGTTTGAATTGAAGTTCACGGACAAACTGCTACTTCAGGTGAGAACAAAAATTTAACTTTCATATAACATGTTTCTAATTATTCTTCTTGCAGTTTCGCCCAGAAAATTCCCAAGATGTCAAGCTTATCAGCATCGAAAAACCCGATCCCGAAGTTGTTCAGACAAATGCGTCCCCGCCCCCGCCCACCCCAGCGACAGATCTAGAGACCGAAAACCAAGTCCCGGAAAATCCCAGCAACGCCTGTCTCATTTTTCAAGCAAGTGGCTTCACAGAATATAGAGGAGTTACTCCTCTCCGGCTTTCCTGAAACGTGAGCGAATATCATACGGTTCAATGTTTCGAAGAAGGCTACGACCCATTTGAGGTTGAAGATGGGTCAGTCCGTGGTAAAGGTAGGAAGAGAACTAGACTCAGTACATCATGGCGATTTGCGAGCAGGTCACCAAGTCCCAGTCCAGAGGTCGAAGAGCCGGTAGCAGCATCTTCTGAAAATGGTATTGAGGAGCCAGTAAACCCACATACGCCATCAATGACGGATGAGGGTGTTCAAACTATAGAGTTTGAAACTGAGGTAATCGCCGAAGCGACGCAAACACTAGAACAAGATTTGCCCAAAATCACTGAGGAAGTGGAGGCAAATGACACTGTAGAGGTTGTGCATGTGGAAGCTCCATTACAGGGAATACCACAGGCCGAAGATGGGAACACAAATCCAATGCCGCCTCCACATAAAGCGACTGATTTTTTCATTCCAGACATCGAGCCACGGGAAATATCGTCCGATAAACTAGATAAAAAGTTACCTTCTTCCCCGCAACTACGACCTTTGCCATCAGAAGGTCTTCCTTTAGTCTCTCCACTGGTAACAACCCGAGTTGAGAAGTTCAACAACTACGTACACAGTGAACACACTCAAAATCTCGAAATACTAAATGCTCCAGATGCGCTTCCAGTGGAGTCTGATAAACAGATGCCAGGTCACAGGAAAGAAGACGAAGTGTATGATGCAAGTCCTCTGCATCACACAAACGGTCAGTCGAAGTCGGATCAGACTACCTATAATACGTCATCAATTCTTTCTGGGGACCAGTATGACCCTCTGAATACTCAGAACACCTTCCCTCCTCACCAGCAACGTCAAAATGGGACCGAGGACGGTGGTGATCAATTATTTGCCCCGTACAATGCTCCTGAGCCAGAATCCTATATATCAGCCGGCGTTTACGAAGAGATACCGGAAGAAGACAAAGCCGATTCGTTGCCCTGAGATGGAGGAGGGTCTGGATCAATACAACTATCCCGATCCAGAGCAGACTTACACAGAACCAAACAATTGGACAACTCAGCCTAGCATGGCCTATCCCGACTTCGGAGACAGTCAACAACAAACTGCCGATTTATACCCTCAACTCCCCTCCACGACATCTATGGTTCGGTCCCAAAGCGATCAATCTCGTCAATCCAGTCACAACCATCAATCGCATCACTCTCCCCCATCTCAAGTTGTAGACTTGACTGAGAGTAGTGATGAGGATGAGGATGAGGATGCTGAGGGATTTCTCGAAGTAGAAGATAATAGTGAGCAGCAGCTACCCAACTCGGCTTTCCCAGTGGAGCATGGCGAGCAAGGTATTTACTATGATGTAAGGGAAGAAGATGAAGACGAGGAAATTATTTACGATGATCAGAACGAAACAGATGACTATGGACAGGGCTACTTTGACGAAAATGATAAAAATTTGGATTCAATGGGTAGAGTCAACTATCCCGAAGATTATGAAAACGGCAGTGAAGAGGATTCCGACGAAGATAGCTACAGTGAGGATGAGACGAGTAATCAAGCGCCAGTACAGCAACAGCCCGAAGTAATAGACCTTTTGTCCTCGGATGATGAAGATGAGGAGCCAGCGGAAGCCCCAGTTGCTCAAATCAGAAACAATCTTAAGGTTGACGAGACAATTGAATCGGGGGAAGAGTCAGAGGAATATGAGGATGACGGAGAGGAAGAAGAGAAAGAGGGAGATGCAGGTCTGGACATTGTTGGCAAACAAGTTCAAAACGTTAGCATCCGTTCTACAAAGTCCCAAGAATTCGTGAGAGAGTCTTCGGAAGAGTCAGTTGAGGACGAGCCAATGGCAAGTGCAATAACGCTAGTCAATGACCGCATCGAATCCATAAAACCCGATGCAGAAATACCCGAGAATGTATTGAATACATCGGGCTCTGGTCTTGACGCGCAAATGGATGTAGATGAAAGCGTGCTTGAGCCAGAGGGCGCAAAGCAATCTCCACCACAAGAAAATCTCGAGGATGAGAATGCTATCGAACTAGATTCTACTGAGCCTATGGACATCGAGACCAATGTAACCAATCCATCTGCTACCATTGACAAGATGGATGTCGATAATAATACAGACAATCTCGATGGTTTACTCGAAAAGCTAGAGGAAGTGGGTTCAGAAAAACAATTGGAACAGGGTTCTGCAAATACCGATGGCGATGTACCCCAGAGCGATGATGAAATCTTCAAGAACGGCGTCGAGAATGTCGAAAATAAGGATATTGACCAAAATTCGAATGAAGCAAATGCTGAGACTTCTTCGCAAGGACCCGAGCCAATCGAAATGACGGATGATATACGAACAGCGACCGAAACTGTACCTGACCCTATACTGGCCGGTGACAATGCAAATACTATGAGTGTTGCACACGAACATGTCCTACCATCACCAATCACTTTAGAGAATTCCAATGTTTCAACAGTACCCATTTCCACAGATCAAAGCATTAAGGATCGAGCTGCCAAGTCTGGTTGGGCGAGGTCTCCTAAAGGGGTTACCCTGTTCTCGAGAACTTTTGGTATAGATGGCGCAAACGATACGAGCGATGCAAATGATACCAGTGATGCGAATGATACGGGTGATGAGGGCGACAAAGACAATAAAGATCTAATCTCTTCTCCTGCGGTGCCAGCAACTGAATTGGAAGATAAATCAGAGTTGATTGATGAATCAGACCAGATGTCACAGTCACAAAGCACTACTAATGCCATCGATACCACCACAGATCATCAGAATTATCAGCTTCCAACACCTGACGATACTCAAAAGCAGAACATTGATGAGAACATTGATGAGAACATTGATGAGAACATTGATGGGGACGATGATGGGGACGATGATGAGGACGGATTAACTTCGATGTCAGATCTACTTCAACTTCAGTTACAAGAAGAGATGGGAGAGATGGACGAAGAGATGGATATGATGAAAACTGATGCACGCATCGAAAAGGATCCATCACCGGACTTACTTGAGAATGAAGACCTAAATTCTTCTCAAGAGAAGCCTGACACGATTTTGAATGTAGCTTCAGACACGGGTGCGATAGATGAAGACGATGAAATGGTTGATCCCGAGTCCGAAGACATAGAGATTCAATTTACTAAGACAGAAATACTTGAGCTCAAAGAGTCTGAAAATACTGAAACCGAATTCAGGCAGGTCAGCGAAGAGATTATCGAGGACGATATAGCTGGGAGAGCGGAGGAAGACGATGTTGAAGTAAATGAAGGAGAAAAATTCGAAGAGATCGAATCAACTGTTGATGAAGATGAAGAGGCCGGGGAGAAATATTTGGAGATGCGTCAAGGTGGAGTGTTTGTAGAGGGAGTTTCGGATGTTGACGAAGATGAGGTATTCAGGGAGGGCACTTCAGATGTTGATGAGGATGAGGTGTTTAGGGAGGGCGTTTCGGATGTTGAAGATGAAGAATCTGAAGAGGGAGATGGAGAGGGAGAGGCGGAGATTGAACAAATCGAAATCAAAGTCAGGGAAGCCGAAACGACGGAGTTCGAAACTCAACAGACTCTTGCAAAGTTGGCCAAAAACAGCAGTTTTGAGAAAGACTTGAAGAATTTCGAGATCACAGAAGAGTATATCGAGCAAACAATTGAGGAGACTGAAGCTGCCGCCGATGAAACCGAAGCCTTCGTGTCGGAGAAATTCAGACGAGCACCTCCCAATTCTTTATCTCCCTTAAGAAGTCGTAGCCGCAAAGAATCTACACCTGAATCTAGGAAAAGCAAAAAAGAATCAACCCCAGTCAGCCCTAGACAAACCCGGTCCAGCAAAGATCTTTCGCCTTCACCTGATTTCAAGAGGAGTAGGAAAGGATCAGCGCCTGTAAGTCCTAGACAAACACGATCTAAGAAGTTGGAGCCAGTTGTGGAGGCTGTCCCTCCTGTAACGCCAACAAAATCCAACAAAGAGGGTGAGAGGCAATCTACACATGGTAGCAATCAGTCTAAGAGGTCGCCGTCTCTAGTTCTTGATGAAGAGAAAACACTAAAAGGTCCGGATACAAGCGCTGAAATGGCAATACTCGGATTACCCGAATCGCCTACAAAAGCCGGCCATCACCTTAGAGCACCAGCAACTACCGATCCGAAACTCCGTCTGACTAAATATCTTCGTACTGATTTGAGTGAATATACAACTCTCAAAATGCTTCGTTTCAAAATGAACTCTAAACTGGATATTTTGGCAATCGCTACGAGTGTACCTACCGAACCTCAAAGAGCAAAGTCAGGGCCAAGACACTACACTAGCACCTTCACCATTACCGATCAAACTATAGCTCCTTCCGGCGTAGTGGAAGTAAAAATCTTCCGTCCATACAGAGATGCCCTTCCCACACCTGAAATTGGAGATGGTATATTACTGAGAGACTTCAGCGTCTTATCGGTTAAAGGGAGAGGTTTCACATTGAAATCTGAAGAAGAGAGTAGTTGGGCAGTGTTCAAGGATGAGGGTACAGAAATAGAAGTTCGGGGACCTCCTGTTGAATATGGTCATGGGGAAAAGAAGCACATGAAGGAATTGAGAGAATGGTTTCACGCACTCGATGATCGTCAAAAGACGAAACTAGAAAAGGTTAGTGCAGCGATGGAGAAGGATCCTCAGGGAAAGAGTGCCACGGAAAAGGGAAAGAAGTGAGGCAAATATGGATTTGCATCTCTGGGTTTGAGATGTGAGGCGCTTTTCGGACTTTAATCGAGAGCATGACTTAATGTATAGATTAGTGTATTTTATAATGACTACAGCGCATGGAGGGCAAACTCGTTTGGGGACATAAACACATAGGTTTCTCGAAGTTATGGAAAACGATTATGAGAATCTTCTCGGGAGATGAGATGAGCGCATTTAGCTAGCTATCTTGATTTTTGAAATAGCAATGCATCAATTAGTATTTAATACGTGCTATCAGAAATGAATTGAGGTTTAATACTTGTTGTGACATCAATGTGGTATGTATGGTGTGCTTGTAATGCAATGAGTATTTTTCGAGAACTTGGTATTCGGTAGAATTTCGGTTGGAGGAATTACAAATCGTGATTTTCTAGTAAAGAGGATGCACCTAGGTACTCAATAACGGTATCAATAGATTTTACTACTAAAACACAAATACTAGTCGTCTAATTGTTGAAACTGGTGGACAAGAAAGAGAAGATACAATCTCAGAGATTATACTCTCAGAGATGGGTGAGTGATTGAATCTGTGGGTGGATGTGGGTATAGAACCATGATTCGAACATATCAGCACGCGTATTTTTCAGCATGCATATCGAGTGCGCAGTTCATGCATGTACGTACGTACTTCCTATGTATCCCAATAGGAAGAGCTGAAACCCCTCAGCAGATTCTTGGCTTATCACACAAAATGTATTATTCAATCGAATGGGGTAAGTAAGCAAGTAAGTATAGCAGTTTCGCTTTCTACATCATATGTGAAGCATGCCCTGAAAACCACTCACTCTTCAGTAATGGACCCTTTAAGTTTATCGGCCAGTTTGATAGCCGTCCTTCAAATAACCGGATCCTTGATATCTTTCTGCTACGATTATCGTCAAGGTGTCAAACATGCTTCGAAGGAAATCGTGCAGATTTCAGATGAATTGAATAGTTTGAGGGATATTTTGGATTCGTTGCTTAAACTTGCTGAGAAGGCTGAATCGAATGGTTTCTCCCAGCTATCGACATTTGATTTGTTGTTAAAGGAAGATGGGCCGCTTTCCGTGTGTAAAAATGAGTTGGAGAAGTTGAAGGGGAAACTGGAAAAAGGAGGGGTGGGTGGGAGTGAGGGATGGAGGGCAATTAAGGAGAGATTAGTTTGGCCGTTGAAAGAGGGTGAGGTGAGGAAGACGTTGGTGGTGTTGGAGAGGTTGAAGAGCACGTTGGCTTTGGGGCTGAGTGCTGATCAGACGTGAGTTTGAAGTATTGTTTGGGGGTTGAAGTGCTTATGAGATGGTAGGAATCTGGCCTTAAATCTTACGAATAGGATTGAAACCCAATTTGCAGGTAAGAATCTGGGTTTAGAATTTACAAATCTAGTTTACGGATTATATTTGAGGGCTGTTGAGAATATGGTGGAACTTGATGTCGAAACCCCGTGTTCATGGTCATGACCGAGGGATGTTATGTGAAGATCGCTTCAGCGATTTCTAATTTTTGGATTACTATCCAGACTATTGAAGATTATGATTGAAATTGACACATCGTACAGATCAAACAGCTCGGGATATTTATCGATGGCTAGCTGCGCCAGACCCATTTTCTACTCATTCTGCAACATTAAAGAAACACCAACCAAAGACGGGAACATGGTTCATAACAAGTAAGCAATACGAAGATTGGTATCTTGGTAATGATGCCTTCCTATGGCTTTATGGTATTCGTAAGTTGAATGACCTTGACTAAAGTTTTTGACTAATCTCTTGATATCAGCTGGTAGTGGGAAGACTGTGCTATGGTAACAAGCACTCTGAAGTTTACTTGGACTGTTAATAACTCACAATTATTTACTAGTTCTACGATAGTAGAGCATTTGATGACTCAAGTTCAACAACACCCTAAGATAGCACTCGCATACTTCTATTTCGACTTTAATGGAGATTTGAATGGCGCTCTCAAATCTTTGATTGCTCAACTCTCGGCACAAAGTAGTGATATTCCTCGGTCATTGACAAATCTTTACGAGGAGTTAAGCACAAAAACGTCCACATCGCCAACAGATGATGCGCTTCTTGAATGCTTTCGTAACATTCTATTATCATTCCATCATGTCTACATAGTTTTTGATGCACTAGATGAGGCCGCTAGGAATACAGAAGTGCTGTCATTCCTTTCTACTATAAAAGCATGGAAGTATCAAAGATTGCGCTTGCTGGTTACTAGTAGACAATTAACCGAGATAGAAGAGGTTCTATCTCCTTTGGTCAGTGGTCGAATGTGTTTGCAAGATAACCTGTCAGCAAGAAGTGATATTAGATATTTCGTCTCCGAGAAAATGGACCATGATAAAATAATGTCAAAATGGCCGCAAGATATTCGAGATCAAATTGAATTCAAGTTGACTCTAGAGGGAGATGGCATGTAAGTACCCCGGGTCCCCCCTCTGAAGATTTGAAGGATTTATTTTGACGATAATACAGGTTCCGATGGGTGGTCTGCCAATTAGATATGTTTCGAAAATGCACCAGCGTGTCAGCGATACGGAAAGCGATGAAAAAATTACCCAAAAGTCTAGACGAGACTTATGAGCGAATATTGCAGCAAATTGATGTTGACCATCGATCGGAAGTTTCGAAGATTCTTCAAGCTCTCACAGTAGCTGCAAAGCCCTTGAATGTCGAGGAGTTGGTGGAAATTCTAGCCATAGATTTCGATTCGGATCTACCGTGTTTTGATGAAGATTCTCGACTTCTCAATCCTGAAATAGTTCTTTCTATGTGCTCGTCTCTTGTGACCAAATTTGAACCAAGATCAGGACAAGACGGAGAGTTTAAGACTAGATGGCAAAAAGACTTGACAAGACAGGAATCCATATATAGTTCACCTGGAGTGAAACTCGCACATGCATCCGTAGCGGATTATCTCACTCACACCACAACCTCGCCGTTCCACTACACTCAATATACAGCGCGTCAATTTATGGCTCAGGCTTGCCTAGCATACCTACTCAATCCTGAGTTTTCCCAAGGTCATGAACGAGAATTACTCAAGAGTCGCTATCGAAAATATCCCTTTCTTCGTCACCTCACCATAAACTGGCCACGATATGTGAACAAAGAACCTGGCGATCCCGATGATTATCTTGCACCACGTACTCGGAAACTCCTCCATGCTTTCTTCGAAACCCACAATCTCGAGCATGGTGGTAACTTCGCTTTCTGGCTTGGCATGATGATGCCATCTGCTCCTACAAAGGATTCATACATGTTGAGAACACATCCTCTTTACTACGTAGCGTCTTTTGGACTTGCAGATATTGTGCGCATCATATTGGATACGGAGAGAGATATCGATATTGATGCACTTGGGGGACGAGCACATGCGACTGCTTTACATGTCGCTTGTTACAGAGATCATTATAAAGTGGCAAAGCTCTTGCTCGAGAGAGGTGCGAATCCGGATACTCCCAACGTTTTTGGAGAAAGCCCTCTATATTGGGCCAGTACTAATAATTCAGACGGGAGTATGGTGGAATTGTTGTTGGAGCATGGAGCAGATAAGGCAGGGCGTCAGAGATGGGTTTCAGGGAACGATATGCCGGAAGTTCCAACCGTTTTGTGTCATCGATAATTCCCGAGGTCTCAATAGACGACTCTTGTTGAAAATCTCAGATGGTAAGAGTATCTTAGTGAAAACTCCTATCGTCCATGGTTTTCTTCTGCACTTCTTGATTGTGAATATGCATGCACGGAGATACGGCACGCTGATGAAGATAGCTTGCTCTAGTGGCGCGCCACAATCTATATCCATACCTATTGCGGGCCTGTACGAAAATGTGATGATAGACACAGATTTCCTTGTAGATAGCAGGGGAGGTTGCAAAAGAGCGGGGGTAAGCAACTAGGCTCGGGGTGGACGGAAAAACTGGGACGCCCAACCACACCAAAACCAGAATCTCTAAAGATACTTCTATCTCGATCTTATATTTTGATAGTAATTTAGTAGATAACATGATAGCTATGGCGTATCATACGGATATTTTTGCTCAGAATGATATTAGATAATAATTAATTAATTTCTTGATATATTTAATCTATACTTTTATCTAATAAATTTTCAAATATATCATTTTAATTATTAATTATATATTATTTCAGAATAACCCTAAATTTGAAATCTAAACTATTAAAAAATAAATTAAATGAGAAATTAGATTTAAAAGATTTAAAAAGATTTAAAAGATTTAAAAGATTTAAAAGATTTAAAAGATTTAAAAGATTTAAAAGATTTAAAAGATTTAAAAGATTTAAAAGATTTAAAAGATTTAAGATTTAAAAGATTTAAAAGATTTAAAAGATATTTAAAAGATTTAAAAGATTTAAAAGATTTAAAAGATTTAAAAAGATTTATATCAAAAAAGATTAAATAATAATATAATGTCACGGGATCACCTCTGGGAGTATTCAGAAGCTTTACCGCTGAGCTAAACGCCAAAAGACTAGGAGGTAGAACTGGAAGTTCTACCTTATTCTTATATATATAGCAGGACAGGACAGGACAGGACAGAAAGGGCTTAGTGTCACCCCGTAACACCACCCCCCTCCTTAAGGTATGGTCTCCATACCATCACCTACTAGGAGGTTTCAGGATTCTGGATTCTAATGCCTCAGGCATTCAGACAGGCAGACAGGATCTATATATGCTAGCTTCCAAACCAATGAAGGCTTGTAAGCTATAAGTGGGCCCCCCACACAACTCCACTTATAACCAGGGTAGTTCTACCTAATGTCACAGGATCACCTCTGGGAGTATTCAAAAGCTTTACCACTGAGCTAAACACCCAAAAGATTAGGAGGTAGAACTGGAAGTTCTACCTTACTCTCATATATATAGCAGGACAGGACAGGACAGGACAGAAAGGGCTTAGTGTCACTTCGTGACATATAAAATCTATTAAATAATATAACGTGGTTTATCACCGAGTG